TATATATATATATATATATATATATATATATATATATAAATAAAATCCACAGAGAGGAAAGAGACAGTTAGTTGTTTTGTTTGTTGGGGGTACCAGGGATTGAACTCAGGGGCACTCAATCATTGAGCCACATCCCCAGCCCTATTTCTTGTATTTTATTTAGAGACAGAGTTTTACTAAGTTGCTTAGCACCTAGCTTTTTGCTGAGGCTGGCTTTGAATTCGCAATCCTCCTATCTCAGCCTCCCAAACTGCTGGGATTATAGGTGTGCACCACTGTGCCCAATAAAAGAGACAGTTTTTTTATTCTCTTCTACATCAATGTCTACAGGAGCAGGGCTTCTGCTCCACAAACAGATTTGCATAACCAAATGGAATACCACTCTTCTTTATCTAAAGTATCTATACTCAGGTTAACGGTTACTTTACAATTTTCTAAGAGTAGTAGATAAAGAGTAATAGATATATAGTTGCTATAATATAAATAGTTAAACAATTCATGCAGTTTCCCCAAAACAGTTCGCTCCTAACGAAATATTCAAGTCTTCCCTTTAATCAGGACAGAAAGCCACCTATAGTTTTAAGAGATAGCTTTTCTACCTTCTCCCAACTCTTAGGATTTTCAGTCTACCCCTGCTCACGCTCAAAATGTTTTTAAATCTGAATATATAAGCTTTTTTATTATTATTCCAAACTACATTTACTGAGCATTTAATGTCAGGCACTCAGATATATAAGACATAGCCCAAATATGAGGAAAGGAAATACACAAATCAAGAATTTTTCAGCCAGGCATGGTGGCACATGCCTGTAATCCCAGTGGCTCAGGAGTCTGAGACAGGAGGATGGCAAGTCCAAGACCAGACTCAGCAATTTAGTGAGGCCCTGAGCAACTTAAGAAGACCCTGTTTCAAAATTTAAAAACAAAAAGTTCTGAGGATGTAGTTTGGTGGTAAATTGCCCATAGATTACATTCCCAGTACAAAAAAAAAAAAAGAAGTTTGCAATCTAGAAGAGAACATTAAATGTATGTACAATTAGCTAT